ATAAGAGACATCCCAGTGAAGGCCCAGTTTCCACAGCACAGCAGAAGACAGAGACCGAGAACCAGAACAATGACTCATTGCAATGAAAACTTGTAAGTAAGCTTGTATGGACTAAAGAGTATACTGTATGACTCACTGTGCAACACTAAAGCTCCAATTATGAGATACTTTTCTTTCAATTTTATTTTATTTAAATTTATTCTATTTTATTTCGGGGCATTGCAAGGGCAGAGAGTGGATATGAAGGGACAAGGTGATAAATGGGATGGGGACACATGAGGTGAAATTCACAAAGAATTAATAAAAATCTAAAAATAATAACAAAACCCCACAGGATATGCAAAATAATCCTGAATAATAAAATAACTGCTGGAGGGATTTTCATCTCTGATCTCAAATTGTACTAGAGAACAACAGTAATAAAAGCAACATGGTATTGACATAAAAACAGACATGTCAATCAATTCAACACACCTATGGACACCAGATTTTTTTTTCTTTTGGTAGAGAAGCCAGAAGCCAGAAATACACACTGGAAAAAAAGACAGCATCCATAACTATTGTTTCTATTCATTTATCCTTCCTAAGGAGATTAATCCATTCTCCCCCAGTTTCTTACTCTCCAATGAACCTCTGTGATTATATGGATTGTAGCTTGCTTCTCATTGACTTAAGAACTGACATTCACATATAAGAGAATACGTACACTATTTGCCTTTCTGGGCCTGAGTTACCTCACTCAGGATGACTTTTCCCCCTTGTTCCATCTATTATTTCCGTGTGAATCTCATAATTCAGGAGGGAGGGGTCACTGTAACAGGAAGACAAAACAGAGCAAAGGAAGGGAGAGGGCAGCAAGAAAGTGAATACATGGAGGACAGAGAAGACTAAAGGCCAGGTGAGCAGTCATGGAGAAACTTATACATTAGAAACGTCTTTCAATTTATACATATAGAAATATAATATAAAAAAATCACCAAATATTTGGGGAAAGAGAGTCCCAACTGCCTATTATTCATCACCAAATTCCAGTTCTACAAATGGGCTACATTGAATAGATCTGCTGGTCAAAGGGATGCCATAGGAACCCCCAAAGTGCCTAGTTTATTGTCAAGAATAGTGATGGCTGCCCACAAACTGACAGTAAGGCTTTTTTGCTGAAGAAAACACATACACAACTCATTAAGCACAGAGAAATGGAGATTTGACTACCTAGATCCTTCACCTCTGTGAACTAATAATATTCATGGAAGTGGAAGGTACTCTGCTCACAATATCAAAGTAGAAACATAAATCCTGACCCAGCTATATAGCATTCCATTTACAAACGTGGCCTGCCTGAGAGACATGCTGGTGCCACAGGGGTTCAAAGCTTGTGGAAGTGACCAACCACTATCTGATTTGAGTTAAGGTCAACTCCACGAGGTGAACCCCCATATCGAATGCTGCTTAAATGGTCAAGAACCAGAGACAGGATAGGGCAGTGACCTAGGAAAAAACCAACTACTGCTGTTCTGTAAAAGGGATGAAGTGATAAAATGACTCCTAATGACATTCTGCTATACTCATAGATCAGTGCTTTGCTCAGCCATCATCAGAGAAGCTTCCTCCTACAGTAGCTAGGCACAAATACAGAAACCCACAGCCAGACAGTATGCATAAATGAGAGACCTTGGTACTCTCCATTTTAAATGGGATGTCTACATCAAGTCTCTCCCTTCAGGACTTGGAACTCTACAGAAGAGGAGGTGGAAAGACCGTAAGAGCCAAAGGGGATGGAGGAACTAAGAAAACAAGGTCTTCACAAGAGAAGGTTATACATGTGAACTTGGGGAGACAGTGGCAGCAGGATTAGGGCCTGGAAGATTCTGTATCAGATGGGGTCAGAGAACTGAAAGAAGAAGTGGACAAATTCCCCCAGCCCTTCTCAGAAGCTGCCCACAATTGATTGGCATTTACAAAGGAAAAAGAATAGTTTTCTCCAAGGGAGAAACAAAGCATTCCCCAGGGGCCCATGCTCAGCAGTAGAGGGGGAACACAAAACAAACTCAACAGGATCTTTGGATGCTCTTTCTTTGTTCCATATTTTTAAGTCAGGGATTTTTTTCCTTTTTGTCTTATAAGTCATTTTTGAATATATTATGGATTTTGGTTTGAAATTTTTAGGGGATTCCCATGTGAAAAAATGTGTGTCAGTGTCTGTAGGTGTTCCTTTTACTTTTTCCTTGGCCTTTTCTTGTTTGGCATTTTGGTATAGTCCAATTTGTTTATTTTTAACTTATTTTATTATATTGCACTTTATTTTGTTATTATTTATTGAATGCCTGTTTGTTTTTTGAAAAGATAAAGAAAGAGAAGAAAGATTTAGTTGGTGGGGAAGAATTGGAGAAGTAGAGAAGGGTATCATCAGAATATATTATATGAAAAATCTATTTTCCTCTTTTCCATTCTTTTTAAAATATAAAAAATAAAATACGATAAGATAAAACAAAAATTATTACATTGAAATTGAACAAGACAAAAGAACAGAAGGAAAAGAACACAGAGGAAGGCACAAGAATCATAGATTCGCTCATTCATATACTCAGGAATTCGATTACAACACTAAACAGGAAGACATAATATATAGAGAGGACCTGGTGCAGACTTGTGCTAGCTGTAATAAGAAAACGTAATACAGTAGGATATTTCATTTATATACATGAAAGTGATATAAATAAAATCCCTAAATAATGGGGGAGACAGAATTCCAACTGGCCATCTCTTGTCACCAAACATAGCTCCAACTGGGTGAGAAAACCAAACAAAGCTTGTTGAAACTGTGTTGCATCTAATTGATTTGTTGACCAAAGGGATCCCATGAGATTCTCTAAACAATGCAGCCTGTTGTCAAGATAATAAGTTGCTCTCCACAAATTGACAACAAGGTCCCACTGCTGAAGGAAACACCTATACAACTAATTGAACTTGAACAAGTTACTCTGGTGCCTCCATAGAGCCTTTACCCCTACGTTCGAGCATCTTTGGTACCCTACCAAAAGGGAAACATAAGCACCAAAAGAGCCACAAATCCTTTGATCTACAGTGGTACCCTGCCTGAAGGATTAGCTAATGCAATGGTGACAGAGAGCTTGTGGGAGTGACCAACCAGTATCTTATTAGAATAAAGGCCCACTCCATAAATTAGGACCCATACCTGACACTGCCTGGGTGACCAAGAACCAGAGATTAAATAGTCCAAGGACTCAGGATACAATCTAATGAAACTGGTTGTAAAACAAAATAAAATTAGTGGGCAAAAAAACCCATTTTCAATAAAAGAAAAAAAATCCAAAGCATCATTATTTTCAGATGATATAAAAGACTCTGAAGACCTCACCAGAAATATCGTACAGCTCATAAACACATTGAACAAATATAAAGATACAAGTATAACACTTAAAAATCAGTAGATTTGCTATTTAAAAGACAAGCATATCAAGAACAAAATCAAGGAAACAGTCATACTCAAAACAGCCTAAAATACAAACCAAAAAAGGGAAGGATTTGCACAATGAAATTTTAAAACAATGAAAGAACTTGAAGCAGATATCAGAAGATGAAAGGCACCCCCATCTCATGGACTGTCAAATATAGATGTTGTAGGAGGCCACTCATTTGTTCCCAGGTGCTTAGACCCAAAATAATCACACAGAAACTGTATTATTTGCCATACTGTTTGGCCAATAGCTTAAGTACTTTTCTAGCTAGCTCTCATATCCTAAACTAACCCATCTTCATTAATCTGCCTCACTACCAGGTCATGGCCTACCGGCGAAGTTTTGGCAGGGTCGAAAAGAGGCATTTGTCTCCTGTGGCAGCTTATCTTGAGTCTGTGTCCTGCAGTGGTTTCTTGGCTTCTCACTGGCTCTGCCTACTTTCTTCTTTATCTCTGCTTGGAATTCTGCCTTACTCTATTCTGCTAAGCCACTGGCCAAAACAGCTTTATTCATTAACTAATAAAAGCAACACATATATAGAAGGACTTTCCACACCATACAGGGAGATACAAGAGCTGAAAAACAGCCGCAGTTGGAAAACACATATTCATGTCTTCTATCTGGGCAAATCAATAGACACTTCCAGGTGATGGTGTTAACCTTGGTAACCATTGCTATTACCATAATCCATGCCATGACCCTGTTTGTGGATTACCTTTAAAGCTCTCAAACTAGCCTCCACTGGTTTGTGTCATTTGTTCCATGCCTTGGTAAAGCAATAGTACAGAGACCATCCACCACCCTTAATAGGAAAAATCAGCCAGACAACCATTGTTTTAGGCTCTGAAGCTATCAGAAGTTCAGAACTTTTCCATAAGTTTTCAAGGCTTGGTATTGTCGGAGCTATATAAAGAGTTCAGTTCAGTCTTATATAGATAAACTCATGATCTGCTGTGTTTTCCCATAAAGGATGCCTAAAGGCTCATTATCTTAATCATTGAAAGAAGACAGCTTAGTAATAACAAAGACAGCAGTTAATGGCAAATTGCTTTCTATTTAGCTGAATTTGGAGTTACATGTTTCTTGTAAAATTATGCTCTGGAAAGCTATGGACTGGGAACCGTCAATAAATTAATGAATGCTTTGGAAAGCGCTTAAATCAAAGGTGATTTAACACAGATCTTCCCTACTCAGGAAACAAGCAGCCAGGTTTGGGGAACAACAGAATCTGGCAAGTTTATCTCTGACTGCTTCCATCCTAAACAGGAAAAAAGGGTGAGAAGGCTGTGTGACTCACTTTTAGCTCTTAGTGATTTCATCTTCATTCAAATGAGTGGAAGATTCCCAGTGACCCACGTGTAAATCTGTTGAAGAGGTAGGCTTACTGTTGGGATGTTGGGATTTGTGCCTACTTTTATTTGTAAGAAAAATAATTGAGTAAGGAGTAGCTCTTTTTTTTTTTTGTCTTCCTGGACACTGCACTAGTTACAGGAAACAAGCTGCTCTAGTTGAGAAGCTGGGGAAATCGAAAGCTATGAACACTGCTGGGAGGAGTCCTATTTCATCACAACTCTCCCCAGAGAAACAGCATGAGGTCAGACATCTAGCACTGCTCAAATAAGGAACTCACTTTATAACCAGTTTCCTGGTCTTCCTTGTTATTTTGTAGATACTACATTTTCTCAGCGTTTAATGAGATTCCAACACCCTGCTGTGTACGTTTTGAGAGATTTATCTTCCTACACAAAATAGACAAGCCCTATTTCCTGCCTTGTTGAGGATCTACAATCTGGACATTACTGAGAAACTTCCGGGAGGTAAGTTCTACCCTTGAATATAAGGAGTAGCTCTGTGAAACCAACAAGAAGGCAGGAGATCCCTGTGGGTTCTTCCAGTGCAGCGAGGGGGGGGGGGGGGGGCGGGGAGGGACAGAGATGGCTCTAGCTACAGAAAGGGCAGGGAAACCCTGCAGCTGGGTTCTAATGCTTCAGGCAAAAAGACGGCAGACATGCTTGTTCCTCCATCTCCGGGGTTCGAGGCAAGAAAAGATGTGTTTTGATTACTGCAGACTGTAAAATAAACTTTCAAAGTGTAAGTATAAATATCTAGAAAAGTAGAAGAAGGCTTTAGCTATCTGGGCTGAAGAGTTAGCGGAAACCTGTTGGCCGTGGCACATGTCTGAGGAAAGGACAGGGAATGATATGAAGAATTACTATGAAATAAAGTTGAACGAAAATGCTTCTGAACAGGGGTCTGTGTTATCTAGTAATATCTTAATAACAAACAAGATGAGAGTCAGTGGACATATGTAGTAAAAATTTTTAAGGTTCCTAAACCCAGCTATTCAAATACATTCTGTTTTAATAAGCATATTTAATACTTTTGCCTTCACACAGGGAAGTAAAAATATTATTTAGTCACTGGGAAAAGTTTTCTGTCATCATAAAAAGTTGTTCTTTTTGGTTGGTTATATTTTATTAGTTTGCGGTTTATTTGTCATAAGATATAAGGGATATAAAAGACAACTAAATAGAAATATATTTCTCTTGTCTACTTTTAAAATATTTTAAACAGCTTTCACCTCGCGGCCGTTGGCCTAAGCGGAAGGCCGAGTGGCCGGCTGCTGCCAGGCAGGGGCGGCGGGGCTCGGGGTTCGGGGCTCGGGGCGGCTTTCCCCGGCCGGTGATGGCGCGCACGGGCGCCGGGAGACAGGGGCCATTGTAGCGGACTGAGCGGCGGGCCGGAGGCGGCCCTAGCGCCCGGTCGCGCGCCATGGCCCCCATGGGCATCCGCCTGTCCCCGCTGGGGGTGGCCGTGTTCTTCCTGCTGGGGCTCGGGGTGCTCTACCACCTCTACTCTGGCTTCCTGGCCGGCCTCTTCAGCCTGTTCGGCCTGGGCGGCGAGCCGGCGGCGGGCGGGGCGGCCGAGTTGGCCGGCGGGGACGGGGGCGCGGTGGACCTGCGCGAGATGCTGGCCGTGGCGGTGCTGGCGGCTGAGCGCGGCGGCCAGGAGGTGAGGCGGGTCCGCGAGAGCAATGTCCTCCACGAGAAGTCCAAGGGGAAGACGCGCGAGAGCGCCGAGGACAAGATGACCAGCGGCGACGTGCTGTCCAACCGCAAGATGTTCTACCTGCTCAAGACGGCTTTCCCCAACGTGCAGATAAATAGTGAGGAACATGTGGATGCATCTGACAAGGAGGTCATTGTATGGAATCGTAAGATTCCTGAGGACATCCTGAAGGAAATAGTTGCTCCTAAAGAAGTCCCTGCGGAAAGCGTGACTGTCTGGATTGACCCGCTTGATGCTACCCAGGAGTACACGAAGGATCTTCGGAAGTATGTCACTACCATGGTGTGTGTAGCTGTGAATGACAAACCTGTGCTAGGAGTTATTCACAAGCCGTTTTCTGAATATACAGCTTGGGCAATGGTGGATGGTGGTTCAAATGTGAAAGTCCGCTCCTCCTACAATGAGAAGACCCCAAAGATCATTGTGTCTCGCTCTCAGGCAGGGATGGTCAAACAGGTTGCTTCACAGACCTTCGGAAATCAGTCGTCAATCATCCCAGCTGGCGGTGCTGGTAATAAAGTTTTAGCACTCTTGGATGTGCCTGATGTGAGCCAAGAAAGAGCAGATCTGTATATTCATGTGACATACATCAAAAAGTGGGATATATGTGCTGGCAATGCCATTTTAAAAGCCCTTGGGGGGCATATGACCACTCTGAGTGGTGAAGAGATCAGTTACACTGGGTCCGATGGCATTGAAGGGGGACTCCTTGCTAGCATTAAAATGAATCATCAAGCCCTGGTCAGAAAACTCCCGGATTTAGAAAAGTCAGGACATCAATAAGCATTTTTAAGCACAGGGTGCAACTCCGTGAATTATTCGGCCTGAACTTTCGGAAGCTTCAAAGGACTGGTGGAGACTATGCATGGTTAAGGCCGTCCTGAACTTAGGAAGTACTTATGAAGCATCAGAGACTTACTTTCCCTGAAATAGAATGTAAAATCAGGGAAATTAGGTTGCTTCATTTCTCAAGTATTGTCTTTATTTTTGAGACTATTTTCATACAGTTGTCATACACAAGGCACACACACATATATATGTATGTATATATATATATATTTGTGTATTAAAATCTATAGCTAGTTTACACTGTTATGAGTCACCATTTTCACTCAACAAATGATGAGTCTACACTGTTGAGAATTTCGTATAGAATTGGGTTTGAGGAAGGCTTCGTTTGTATAGTTGTGTAGTATAATTTTGAGGTTGTATCTTACTGAAAATAAAGTCATTGGTGATTTTTACTCCTCAGATGGAAAGCACAAGAAGTCTCATATTCATTAATTGCAACAAGTGCTCTGGTCATCTGCCATTTCTATGGATTTAGTAGAAAAGGCTTTAACAGATTTTTTCTCTGAAACTTGACTAACAGATTCACCAGCTGATAGAAAGTCCAGACAAATGATGAGCTGCATTAAAGTTAGAGTTTTCGTGATGTGGGCTTTGTTTTGATCAAAGTCTATCTATGGTTCCAACATTTCTGCCATGTTACGTTGACTTTCATTTCCCTTTGGAAGATGCATTCGTCCATTCTTTCTTTGTTGAGCTAAAAGTTGGCTTTAAGCTTCAATATTAGCATTATGAGTTCTATATTTTTATTAGAGATAAAATATGCTGTAAGACACTATAAGAATATAAATGATTTTCTAATAATTGAAAGTTATTTCACATTAAATGGACTGACTGGTCTTAGTTATTTTTCAGGAATTTGGTTTCAGCAAATTTTTGCGGCCTTGCCAGGTTTATCAGTAGAGAGTCCCTTATTATCAAAAATGGGCAGTTCCTTTTTAACTTTAATGGACTTATAACAACATTCTCAAAGAAATTACTTTTGCCCATAATCCCATTGTTTTCTCTCAGATTACTGTTAATGAAACATTGATGAAAATTTCCCCCCACTCAGTTGGCAGAATGTGGTTAGAAAAAGAGATGATGGCATTTGTCACGTTGCTGTGACTAAGCTTGCTTTCCAAGCTGTGTTTTTTGTGTTGCTCTAAGAACTTGTTTTTGTTGGTGTGTTTTTTTCTTAGCGTGATCTAGAAAATTGATGTATCATGTTTTTTCATGTGGCTTTGATACCCTTTTAAACTTGAATGAGTAATTTCTCATATTTTCTTTTCTTAAAAATATAACCCTAAAGCAGTTTTCTATTTATTTTCCTATCTTAGAGGTAAAATTGAGCTGAGTGGCCATGCTAGCCTGATAGGCACGCCTCATGTAGGTTTTCACGTCATGAGGTGCAAGGCCCAGGTGGTTCCTCAGTAGTGGACGGAATCTTGGTGCTGTACAGTGCTTTCCCCAGGCCTATCCGCTGCTAGCATTGGCCTTCATGCAGTGAAAAGTCAAAGTTCTGGAAGTTGGAAACTTATTGTTTATTTAGCAGGAGTTGTGAGTTTTGACAACAGTTTCTGACACTAATTACTAAGCAATATGGCAAGAGAAAGGAAACACTGCTTTCTCCAGAGATGACAGAAGCAGTACTCACCAGAGTCCTGTGATACAGACATTGTTTTCATTTTAATATGTCAGAACAGGAAATGGAATATAATGAAAATGTTCTAATGTGCGGAAACTTATCATTCAGTAGAAACAAAACTAGTTCATATTAGCAAACAAGACTGTTTTAGTTTTTTATTTCATTAATCTATATAACTAAGGATATAAACAATGTGTGTAAGCTCAAAAGTTAAGATGTTGGCTGAGAGTTGAAAGTATTATTTTATAATTTGTTGGTGTTGTCTAGTTACTAAAGATTTTAAATACTTCTATAGACATTTATAGTTCATTTTTAAAAAATTTGTTTAAGAGCCAATATACATTACAAGGAAAATGGTATTTATATTTATTTATGAGGTATTATTGTGCCAGAGTGTACTAGCCATGGAGTATGTAATATCTCTCAGAATTAACATTAAATTGTTTTATTTCTAAACATAACTAAGCAAGTTTACATTTGGAAATGCACCTCTTTTCCCTTTAGTAGAAGCAGAGACACCAGAGCCTCACCTGTCTCGTAGGCCGCCCATCAGTCCCTTCGCGCCCTGCCCTATCTTTCCTTTGGGCCCCCTTTCTTAGCTCCTGTGCTACCTTGCCCCACGCTTAACCCAGATTTCTTCTATAAACTCATTCCTCTTTATATTGGCCACTGAACACTGAATTGAGCCTGGTAAAGTTCACAGTGAAAGTGATCAATCCTGGAAGAGATCTGCTTAGCCATTATTTTTGAGAAGAAAAGAAAATCACCTTCAAAAAAAATATTTTAAACACTTTGTGTTCTCTCACATAGCACTACATATGTTCTTGAACTTCATAATTTAAATGTCGATTTCAAAGTTGTACCCATATTAAACCCATATTTCTAAGTTTAGCAGTTGCTCAAATTTTCTGGATTTTTGCAGATGCTTTCATTTAGTTTTTCAGTTATTGACACACTGTTATATTGGCCACAAAACCGTCGGATCTCCTTTTGGCTTTTTATGTTTTTAAATTCATAGGTATGTGTGCTCTCAGAGATTGAATGTATATGATGCATGTATGTGTGCTGATAAGTGTACTTATGTCAAAATATATTTCATATATTCATAGAGATGTGAAGGAACAGAATAATAAGAAAATGCATGCACAATTATTAGTAGAAAAATCCATATTTGTCTAGGGAGGTTTAATCATACTTTGGTATTTGATAAGTTTTACCTTCATTTCTTTTTAAATCTTCACTAATGTAAGATAATCAGAGTTGTCTTTAGTTTCTAATTATTTCTTTATTTTCCCATTGTTAAGGAATGTTTTAAAACAACATATAGGTACATTTCTTAAATAACATTTCAAAGAAGTTGTCGTTGGACTGGTTAGATCTTTTGTTATGGGCTGGTAAAGAGCAGGTTTTTGTTCTGCTTCTGCTAAGGTCATTTCACTGTAGGATGTCACTATCTTACACCAACAAACTGTATGTCCTCTTTCATCTGCCCCTCAACCTTGTTATGTACTTCCTCTTTCACCTTAATTTTAATCAGATATTTATTTTTAAAAATATGTGTGCCTAATCATCAAGTTTGCAGTTTTCATTAAGAAAGAACTATTTTTTTTTTATTTTCTTCTTTCTCTTTTTTTTTTTTTTTTTTTTTTTTGGTATTTTCAGACAGGGTTTATCTGTGTAACAGCCCTAGCTGTCCTGGAGCTAGCTCTTGTAGACCAGGCTGGCCTTAAACTCACCTTGAGATCTGCCTACCTCTGCCTCCTGAGCGCTGAAAAGGCAGTGTGCTACAGCACCTCTTAGCTAAGAACAGCATTTTTTGGATTTCTCACAGTTGCGAGTTCTTTGAGAGAGTCCTACAGTGTATTTTGCTCATATTTATCCCGTCCCACAACTCCTTCCAGATACATACTCCCTTTTCTACATATCCAACTTTGTATCTCTCTTTATCTTTAAAACCCATCAGGTACAGTTTGTGCTCAACTCACTTTTGGGGCAACCCTTTAACAAAAATGATTCTCCCTTTCCCAGAAACTATCAAGTGCCAAAAACTCCTTAGAAGCTTAAGGGGCTTTGTGACAACCCCCTCTCATTTCATTCTAGGATTTTTTCCTGGCTGAAACCTCCACAGACTTTAGGATGCTGCCCAAACCACTCTGAATTCACAAGTTCCTGCCTGCCCAGCTGTGTTTACACTGTTTCGCTGCAGTCATCTAAAACCTCTGTCTCTTAATTTTTTTTTCTTCTCGTCTTCTTAAAGTTTTCCTGAGTATAAGGAAAAGACTAGAGATGACTTTTCTCTGCTGGTAGCATGCCCAGCATCTTCCAGCACCATAGAGCTAGCCAGTGGGAATGGAGCTTCAAGGTCAGGTCAGTACCAGCTGCTGTCCCAAGTTCAAGTATGCAATGTCTCTCTCAAGTTCTGGAAGGAAGCCAAAAGCACTGGCAATAGCTTGTAGAATGTGTGTTGGTGTATGGATGTGTATTTGTGTGTTTTCGGATGGTATTATGGGACCTCACCAATCAACAACTCCAAAGTAAACGATTTCTGACACGAGAATTCTTTTTTGTTAGCTACTGGTTTCTAATAGGATCACCATAATTCATCAAATGGAGCATAATTATATTTAAACCTTTTTTTATATAGGTACACATTTATTTTAGGAAACATATACAGTATTAGTTTCCATATACTTTTTTAAAGGTCTTTAGAATTTAATTACATAGCCCCTCCACTATTCTGTCCCCACACTGTCCAACCACACTTAACCCTACTTTTCCAACACACCACTTTGCCCACCTTTACACCACTTCATTTTTTTCCCTTTCGCTTGAAAGCACCACTTATAAATTATAGTTTTCCTTCATTGTTCATCAGGTCTCCAACCAGTGCAGTATAAAACACAGTACAGTGTTATAAATCACACATTCTTAAAATTTTTCAACACTTAAGAGAAATCCAAAGTCTCTTTAAAATTCTGAGCTATCTCAAATATAATTATAAACTGCTGTAAAACAAAAAGTGAGGCAAATACTTTCTTTGTCCAAGGAAAGAATCTGGGCATAGGAACAATAAGATATAGACAAAACCAAAATCCAGTGATGAAAATCAAAATTCTGTAGTTCAATGTATTTGGAGGCTTCCACACCTCAAAACAATCTCAAAATTGAAACACAGCAGAGACTCCCTACTTTCTTCAACAGAATACCACAGTAGGGCAAGGTTATTTCAGATCTTTTTTCTGACTATAAGTTCAGAGCTTCCCATTTTTTAACTTTCCATGTTGTCATTAAATAGGCCCATTATCTATTATCTTTATCCGTAAATAAGGCAGAAACACTATGAACGTATTAACTTGGTCATCTAAAGAGGAGCAGCTTCACTATAGAACATAAAGCAGCAACAGCCAATGCCAAATTATTTTCTATTTACTGTAGTAAAAGGGAGCGGTGGGCCGCTTCCTGCCACCCAGATCCCAGCTGCCTGGCTAGCTTATAACTCTAAATAACAACACAGAAATTGTATTCATTTGTACACTGCCTGGCCCATTAGTTCTAGCCTTTTATTATCTAACTCCTACATCTTGATTCAACCCATTTTTAATAATCTGTATTGCCACTTGACTGTGGCTTAGCAGGATGAGTCTAACCAGCGTCTGTCCTTCTCGGAGAGGAGAGCCATAGTATCTGCCTGACTCTGCTTTCTCTCTCCCAGCATTCTGTGCAGTCTACTCCATTTCTCTAAATTCTGCCCTGTAGTAATAAGGAGGAGCAGCGGGGCTGTGTCCCCAACACCCCAGCCGCCTGCTAGCTTATGGCTGAAATAACAACACACAAACTGTATTCATTTAAACACTGCTTGGCCCTTTAGCTCTAGCCCTTACTGGCTAATTCTGATATCCCGATCAACCCATCTCTAAAAATCTGTGAGCACTGGTCTTACCGGGAAGATTCTAGCCTAGTCCATCCTGGGTTGGAGCTTCATGGCGTGTGTCTGCCCAGGAGCCAGGAGCATGGCATCTCTCTGAGGTGTCTGCTCCCGAGAGGAGAGCTGTGGAGTCTGACCTCACTTCCTCTTCCTCCCAGCATTTTGTTCTGTTTACTCCACCCACAGGGCCAAGCAGTTTCTTTATTGCTTAACAAATGAAATCAACAGATTGATATATGACACTCCCACATCACTGCCCTATCAAAAATCCAAGGCAGTTTCTTTACTTGACCAATGGAAGCAACACATAGAAAGAAGACCCTCCTACACCAATTTACTGAAGGCTAAATGTGCAATATCCTGCTTAAACAATCTTCTAGTTTAGACACTAGTGAAAGATAAGGAAATGCTGTAATAAGTGCTTAAACCAAAAATACTTACATCAAAGATGTTCCTCTATCTAGGAAACAGATTCAGTTCTTTGTGGCAATAGAACCTGCCAGAATTCTCCTGCTGCCACCTCCACCTTTAGAGGAGTAGAGGAAGTGTCTGGGTAGCTCACACTTTTCCTCTTAGAAATTACCTTTATTCAAAGGAAGGTTTTTCTCAGTGACCCAAGATAAGTCTGCTGGACATGAAAGTTAAAGGTTGGAACATCCTACCTATGAAGACATGTAAGAAAAATAACTGAGCCCAGCAGAGATTTATTTTTCGTTGTAGGGATGTATATTCAAGTTGGCAGCCCTTCAATCTCACTAGCTAGGAACACCAAAAGATAAGAGTAGTGGGAGGCATCTTCACTTTTGCAGTCTTCCTCCCCCCAGGGAGAAGACAGTGCAAGACATGCAAGGCTGTGCATCTTGAAGTAAAGCGAAACAACACTGACCAGTGTCGTTCTTCCCATCTTTTAAACTACTTCCTGTTCTTGGCAGTTCAGGGATTGCAACAACCCTCTCTAGTCTCTGAGAGATTTATTGATTTATCGTTTTTAAATTTTATTGAGCTCTACATTTTTCTCTGCTCTCCTTTCCTGCCTTTCCCCTCCCCTGAAACACTCTCCCAAGGTCCCTATGCTCCTAATTTACTCATGAGAGGTAACCCAGACCCAGCAAGACAATTATTACATTTAGTCATTCATAAGTGGTTTTTAAACATGAAGCAAAGAAAACCAGCCTACAAATCATTTATCTTTTCATTGAAATGAAACCATCTCTGCTTCTTGCCTTGCAGATAAACTAGGATCTGAACACTGCTGAAAAAGATTTCCAAGAAGGTGAGTCATTCCCCTGCTATGTAGAGTTGAGACCTCTGCAGAACCCACAAAGTCATGGGGAAATCAGCACTGTTCCTTCAGAGAAGAATGGAGACAGCAGGACTGGTGTCCATAGCCACTGGGTTCTGATGCTTTACTAGGGAAGACAGCAGACATATTTTTTCCACCTTTACTGGGACCAGAGCCAACACAAATGCATTTTGATTATGGTAGACATGTGTAAATATGAGCAAATGGAAAATGAGAAGGATTGAGTTGTCTTGGCTTGAGAATGACAAGTAACTTGTTGGATGTGGTGACTGACTAGATAAATGATAATCTATAACATCAAAGAATTACTGTGAAATAGTATTTAGTGAAAATATACCAGGACTGTGTTCTAGTATTGCAATATTGTATAGCATGAGAAACAATGGACTCATATAGTACAAAGATTCTCAGATTCACAGTTATTCAAATACATCTTTTGTTATTTATTCTTGAACATACTTATTATTTTCTTTCAAATTAGCAGTATCTCAATCACAGTGAGTTAGTTTCTGTCATCTTGAAATTTATTTGTTTTATTTATACTGTTTGAATTTGATTTTTGTTTTCAGGTTTAAAAAGTTGGGGGCTGAAGGAGCGTTAAATAGAAATATATCTCTATAGTCTACTTTGAGAATATTTTAAAAGTTTACTATGTATACTTTAGAGTTAATGTGTACTTGAACAGTATTTTAGAAGTTGATTTCAGACATGTATGTATGTAAGGTAATCTCTCTTGATGTATCATTTATTTTTCTCAAACATTCTAAAATTTTGCAGATGTTTATACCTTGTTAAATCAGTAATTGAAAATCTACTGCTATGTTTATCAAAATATTCTAGGTTTTCTCAGATTCGCAGATGAGTATGCTCTGTCACATACATATGAAGAGGATATATGTTATTTTATTTACATTTGGAACAAAACATACTCTATGCTGCTACTTATTATGGTTCTATAAAGAGACACAACATTCTAAGAAATGTCACATACTGTTTTTGGCACACAAATCAATCATTTAAAATATTGTCTTTTTCTAAGGGTATGTTCTGGTTATTTTTGTCCGCTTGCCACAAGATAAATTTTTCTGAGATAAGATTCCTGAGTTGAGAGAATGCTTCTTTCAAAATTGCCTGTAGGAAAGTCTGTAGGGCATATCCTTGATTAGTGCTTGATGTGAGTGTGTAACCCTTTAGGGGCAGTGCCACTCTTTTACAGGTGGTCCTGAGTGCAGAGCAAGCCATGAGGATCAAGCAAGTAATCAGTGTTCCTCATGGCTTCTGCTTCACTTCCTGCCTTCAGGTTTCAGCCTTGAGTTCCTGCTCTGATTTCCTTCCATAAGTACTGTTATGTGGAAATATAAGATGATATGAACCCTTTTCTTCCCAGCTTGGTTTTGGTCATGGTGTTTAATCACAGCTATAGAACTTGTAACTAAGAGAGAAATCGGTACTGGGTTAGTGGGATATTATTAAGACACAATTGACTGTTTTAGGAAGGAATTGAAAGAACTTTGTAACTTTGGGATATAACAGCTATTGAATATTTAGAGATTAATGAATTATTGTGAAAATTTACAAGATAATCTGGATGGAAGTGCAGATGATGGAGGCCTGGCTTGGAAACTTCAGATGGAAGGTTGAGAGTACCTTAAAGAATCTACTGAAGTATCTAAATGTTTTGAATTACAACTCTGTGATTGTGGTCAGCTGGAACTGAAGAATTGGCTGTGATTAAGAAGAGATCAGCATAATTGAGGAGTACTCTGGGAAGTGTCTTCTCACCCCCAGTACACAGAATTTAAATTGTGGTCCAGAGTAAGACAATGCTGTACCTTATGCTGACAACCCAACTCTGTAATGTGAAAGACTCATCCAGGTGTTACTGGCATTGGAGGCAAGAAGGGACCATAGGCAATAGCTGAGGCTTGCCACTGTGAAAGGTCATGAAAGGCTATTGATGAAGATAGAACCCAGGTGCAATGGGGACCCCAGTATTTTGAGTTGTCAGTAATGTGGGATGACCACCCTGATAGGAGCAAGTGTAGAGAGAGGTGTCCTAAGCATAGGAGAAACAATGTGTGTGCTTGGATCAAAAAGCAGGAGAAATAGAGCTGCCAAGGCCCTTTGGAAACCAGAAAATCATTTACTCTGTTGAATTTTGGTTCTGCTTTGATTTCAATGTAATTATGACCTGGTTATCCCCTCTTGGAATAGAAGGTAGGCAATTTGTTTTTTATTTTGTGAGAGCTCACTGTAGTAATAAGAGCGGTGGGGCTGCGTCCCCATCACCCCAGCCACCTGGCTAGCTTATGCCCGAAATAACAACACACAAATTGTTTCATTTAAACACTGCTTGGCCCATTTCTATCTAGCCTCTTCTAGGCTAATTCTCACATATTAATTTAGCCCATCTCTAATCATCTGTTTTGCACCCCAAGGTGCGCTTACCGGGAAGATTCTAACTACGTCCATCCTGGGTCGGAGCTGAATCGCCTCTGCCCAGTAGAGCGGAGCATGGCATCTCTGTCTGAGGCATCTTACCTCACTTCCTCTTCCTCCCAGCATTCTGTTCTATTTACTCCTCCCACCTATGTTTTAACCTATGAGGGCCAGCCAAGCAGTTTCTTTATTTTTTTTAACCAATGACCTTCCTCCATCATTTCCCCTTTTTCTGTTTAAACAAAAAAAGTCTTTAACTTTAACATAGCAAAATTACATATAACAAAACAGTTATCAAGCAAGAATTACAGTTACAATATTTACATCTATTTTATCTTTTATCATAACAATGGAAAACTATAACTATAACTATCTATCTATTCTGCAACTCCATCAAAGACTCCAGAAGAATACAATATTACCTAAGCAAACAAAAAGTAAGCAATTTTCAAAACTCTAGAAATGACAGAGACATCTCGCTGCCTGTACAGTCACCCAAAGTTCCTCTTGTACCATTGGGGCATCCATCTTCGACCTACAGGCCCATAGTTTCCAGCAGACATATCCACAAAGCAGGAAATTTCAAAGGCAGTCACTATCTGCTTGTCCTGAAGAATGTCTTGCAGACTCTTTCATGAATCAGGTCACCCGAAAGGCCATCTCACCTTTAGGCAAGTTCAGCAGTCCTCTCTCTGTGGGTTCTCTGTGTCCAGTTTATGCAATAGTCCAGGCAAGAACAGTTTCTTGCCCAAATGGCTATCAAACTCCATAAGGATCCTCTTCAATACCCATCTTCTTCCTGAAGTAGATTGGTGCTGCCAGGAGCAGAGTGTCTCATTGTCATGAAAAGTCCTAAGTTATTAAAACATTAAATGCCATATTCTGCAGTCTTTGAAAGATATGAAGAATGTCCATCTAACTGAAATATATATTTATATATCTAGAAAATCTTCTTTATCATAACTAAGGAAATCTATAACTAACTATTCTTTAACTCCATCAAAGACTCCAAAAAAAAATATTACCTAAGCAAACAAAAAGTAAGCAACTTTCAAACTCTAGAAATTACAGAGACATCTTGCTGCCTGGACAGTCACCCAAAGTTCCTCTGTCCCGTTGGGGCATCCATCTTCGGCCTACAGGCCCATGATATCCAGAGACATTTCCATGAAGCAGGACATTTCAAAGTCAGTTCAGTCACTATCTGTTGTGTCCTGCAGAAGGTCTCACAGACTCTTTCATGAATCAGGAACCCCAAAAGATCATCTCACCTTTAGGCAAGTTCAGTAGTCCTCTCTCTGCGGGTTCTGTGTGTTGGGCGCCATTTGTAGTAATATGAGCAGTGGGGCTGCATCCCCAGTACACAGGTCGCCGGCTAGCTTATGCCCCGAAATAACAACACACAAACTGTATTCATTTAAACACTGCTTGGCCCTTTAGCTCTAGCCCTTACTGGCTAATTCTGATATCCTGATCAACCCATCTCTAATAATCTGTGAGCACCGGTCTTATCGGGAAGATTCTAACCTACGTCCATCCTGGGTCGGAGCTGAATCACCTCTGCCCAGGAGAGCGGACCATGGCATCTCTGTCTGAGGCGTCTTACCTCACTTCCTCTTTCTCCCAGCAATCTGTTCTGTTTACTCCTCCCACCTATGTTTTAACCTATGAGGGCCAGCCAAGCAGTTTCTTTATTTTTTTTTAACCAATGACCTTCCCCCATCAGTTCACAGTTGAGATACTTTAAATTTTTAAAGACTTTAGAATTTTAGGGAGACTTTGTATATTTTTTGAGAGACTTTTGGTATTTTACAGAGATATTGGGTATTTTAGAAAGACTCTGGGTGTTTTGGAGAGAGATTGGATATTTTAGAGAGGCTTTGAAATTTGGAAGAGAATTTTGGTGCTTTAAAGAGACTGGACATTTAAAGTGTTTAGCTTTTAAGCAATGATGCTGAACACATTGATATCCAGAATCTGGTGGGCATAGATTGGCATTAACACACATGTACTAAATTGTGTAATTCTGGAAATTCTATTGAAGTTGGGATAACTGTCTAAATTCAAAAGCAATATGACTTCAATAACAAAACAAATTTTATGTTCTCAAATAAGTGGAACCCACAAAAATTATACATTGTCTCTGTCATCACATATTGGGTTGTGCTGGAAACAGTTGTGTTTGCACAAGTACCAACCCAAATAAAATCTCTCTATTGTAATTTTCTCTGGGGTATGGAGATCAGTAGTGCATGAAAGTTAGAATGCTATTCTGAAGAAGGGAGTTTTACTGTTGAGAGCCTCTTTTCATCTCCTCCTCGGATATGGAGATGATCTGTCTTTTAATGTCCTAGGGCTTACAGACTATGTCTTTTTCTTCATACTCTTCATTTTCCCTCTGTTGTGTCCTTGTGTGAACATTCTGTTTATTCTTGGGTTTCATTGAGCATGGATGATGTTCAATTTTTCTAAAAAAAAAAAAAAAAAAAAAAAAAAAGAAGCAGTTAACAGGCCTAGAAATTAAAATCCAATTATAGAAATGCCCATACAGGCATGATTCCTAAACTAAAATAATATAAATTGAATTATTGGACTCTTTGCATTCTCTCAAGGTTCTCAAGGACCTATGTAAACTGTTGATGAGCTATAAAATAGGACATTCAACCTGTTGGGAAATTTCCCGAAAGCAATTTTTTAGTTGCTTCTAATTTTCCAATTTTTGTTATTTTTTTCTTTACAAATTTATCTGATGAGTGTTGAAAGACTCATGGATATAATAGTAAATTTAATTATACTCCTATTTAGGAGCGTAAAATTAGTAGGTTCTCAACTAGTGATTGAGTCATCTAGTCACAGGGTTTTTGTCTCAGTAATGATACAGGTTTCCACTCATACATGCCTTAGATCAAATCACCAAATGGATGGTTAATGCCACATTTATGTCACTATTGCACCAGTGACCATGTATTTATAGACTGGTTGTTATTGTTCCCCCAAAGATCCAGAGCTGAATAAGGTTTTTTTTTATTATTTTATTTTCTTCCTCCAGTATTGTGCATAGTACCTTCCAGAATTAGAAAATCTAGCCAGTAGGGACAAAAGCTTCCAGGTGAGTACCAACTTGATTTCCCCATGTTTTGTGACTCAATAATGTGGTGTCTTCTGTAATAGATTCTTACCACAAAGTTTTGACATGTAACCAAGAACATTGTTCATAGTCTATATATTGGGCGTCTATGAGAAATGACTGGCCAGTAATTTCAAGAGAGCAAATCCATTCATTCCTAGCACTGGGTATTTTGTTAACCTTTAGAAACATTGTTGCATCATTATAGAGTAAATTCATGTAAATTCTTGATAGATAGATAGAATATATATATGTGTATATATATATATATATGTATGTATGTATGTATGTATGTATTAGGAAGTTTCTACAGTGATACATTTCCATCTCAGTTTTTAGAAATATAATTAGGGTTACTTAATTCTTTGTCTATTCCTTCTACTACCCTAGCCTCCCATCAACCACCTCATTTCACTCTTAAGTTTTCTATATAATGAAAATTATATAGAAAAAAAGTGAGACTACCTTTCCAAACAATGAAGAAAAAATTTGACACATCATAAACCTTGACAATAGAAACATGTTTTGTATATTTTGAAACATATGGTCTCAGTAATAAAAATAAACATAAATGGAAGAGTGCAATTATTTAAGTATTTCCTATATAATTTAGGAGACAGGAAGTTTTTAATAAATTATGAAACTATTAAAGGCCCTGGAATAATTTAAGGAAGACTTGTCATTAGAAAACTGTGTCTATGAACAAGTAGGTATCACTAAGTCTGAAAGGATATATGAAGAAACGACTAATGTAAATCCATCCAATAAATTCTAGGGTGCTGCTCTGAAAAACATGTAGATGTTTGGGAGATTGACAGTAACATCAACACAAAGGACCCATAGAGCACAAAAATCTAAGCTCAGGAGAGAAAGGATGCTCCTGAGGAGTGTTTTGGCTAAAGCCTTAGTGGACAAGGGTCAGTGGCTCACATGGGCCATGTTACTTCAGGCATTGTTTATCCAGGATGAATCAGATGCAGTCTATTTGCATAAAGGTCACTTTAGACTGGGAAAAATCAGACACGCACAGGCAGATATTCAGGAATGAAGCACTAAATAAGAATAGAAAAAGGACTCAGGATTTTAACACTCATAGCCCAGATTACGAGAAACTGCAACAATGACTGATTCCAACACTTTTCTCCCCCCACAACTGCCACTGGCCTAAGTCACCTAACATGCCTACTGGGGAAGAATTTCCTAGACCTGTTTATTAATACAGGAGTTCTACATCCATTTTGGACAGTGACACAGTTGTATGTAACTCTGTTTTTCTCTCACATGCAATTATAGACATTATCAATTGGGGTTATTCATTAATACAGGAAAATCTTTGTTTTGGAATTGTCTGTATATGTGAGTAATCATATGTCCATTTTTATCTTTTAGGATTGTCCATAATATTATAGATAATGAGTGACTACAAGAAAATTGTTCTTCTAAAAGGATTAGAGCGTATGGAAGACTACCACTTTAGGACAATTAAGTCCTTACTAAGAAAAGAACTACACCTGTCTGAAAATATGCAAAATGATTATGACAGAATTCAGATTGCTGACAAGATGGAGGTGACATTCCCAAAAGATGCTGGACTCAACAAACTGATAGGAATTTGTCAAGAAATTAATGATCTTAGAGATCTTGTTGAAAATCTTAAAAAAGAGAAGGCAAAAGGTAACAAGGGGAGCCCCCCCACCCCCGACACGCATACCTTCGCCACCCTTCCCAAATGTCTAGCTCCCTGCAGTGATCAGAGCTGATATGTCCCTTTCCCATTGTGTGCCGTAGAAATTATAGGGGTTGAAGTGTTTCAGATGTCAGTTACTTGAGGATTTCAAGGAATCCTTCTTAGAAACAAACTTCATATATTTCTGGTAGACATCTTTTGCATTGGAGGTAAATGAAATAAAATGCTGTTTTTGTGATAGATTACAATACCCAACTGCCGAGTTCTCTGACAGAAAGAGTAGAGCCAGACCCACTGGACTCTCCCTGGGGCTGAAAGGGATGATGAGTGTCATGACTCAGCCACCCTCCCCACTGGGCATGGGTGGGGGAGAACACACCCACTGAGTATGGAGTCTGTGGAAGCAGAAACTCATTTATTGGTACTAAGCAGGGACTTATATAAGGTTGTGAATGGGGCTGGAGAAGCCTGCGATGGGCCAAGGCAAAGTAAGAAATGGAGGTCCAAATTCTACCACATTTGTGGTAGCTGGTCAGAGGAGGGTCTAGGACAGGTAGTCAGAGACATGTTTCCAAACTCTAGCTAGGCTCAGGAAGTTACACTAGGCCTCACACCATTTCAAGTTAGGCTCAGGAAATTATACTGGTTCTCACACCCAGGCCTCATGAGGCCCAACATTCAGCATGTTGGAAAAACTAGAAAATGATAAAGTAAAAATTAAATAAAATCATTTAAAGCATTTAAATAGCACAAATTTAATACTTTAAGCAATATTGAATATAAAGTTACACAACTCTGACCTGAGAATTGACCACAAGGAATCTCAGTCAAGGAGATCTCCAGATTGAGAATACCCTGAGTTGCATAGAAAGATATATCCCCAATATAAAAGTAAAAAAACAACGTTACTATGTATTTACATCATATAAGAAATCATAATTGTTTTGCGTTTTCTGTGATTTGGAATTATCCTCTTTAGAAGTAACCTAATGCTATTATCATAAAGCATCAGGTTTATAAAACCAGTCTGTGGGATAAGATTGTTGGCACAGGCTTGTTCTGACATAAACAGAAGTTCCCAGGATGGAGAAGCTGAGTCCACTATGCCTGAGATGTGTAAAGAATCCCCTGAGGTGGTGCCTGTTTCAGACTTGTTATCATTGGCGACTTTCTGGCCAGGTAGAGCCTCTGCAGCAGAAGAAAATAAACACACAGACACAAGAAGAGACTAAATAGTCCTTAAAATTGTTGCATAATATTTGATTGCACTTTCCACCCTGAGATTGCATTATTTACTGAAAAAAAAAAACTGTTTCGAGGTTTGGAATGGCTCAGCCCTAGCACACACCTTTAATCCAAGAGCTTTCTGGTTGAATATTGTAAACAGGTTAAAACAAATTCAACCACATGCCAAGAGATGGAGCAAGCAACCAGTTGACAGGAAGTGAACATAGGGTTACTAGGAAAACAACCATAGAGAGTGGGAGGAAGTCAGGGCAATGGATAGAAATGGATAGAAAGAAGCACAAAAAGCTGATGTGAGGGACATTCAAGTTGAGAGATTTTGGTTTGAGACAATGAAGGAAAAGGGGTTTATGGTACATCAGTGGAATAGGAAGGTCAGCTGGGTGCTTTCTCTGCCTCTGTGAGCTAGCAAGCTTTCACCCCAACATCTAGCTTCTGAATCTTTATTGGTAAACGTGAACCAGAGAGGTTTTCTTAAAAACAGCATGAAATTGCCTTTCTGTAAAATCACTAATGAAATGGAATAAATTACCCATTTCATTTTTTAAAAAAGAAAGACAAATACTTCTGAATAAGCTTAAGCCATGTTAACCATTTTCCTGGACTTAGTGTGTTTTCTTCATCCCTGTAGTTAAAAAGCCAAATAAAGAAAAAGTAAAAACTGCAGTGAAAAAAAGGAAGCAAGAGGAACCCAGCAGTTCACAATCTCTTTCCACTGATAATGAACCAAGCAAGAATAAGCCCTCTTCAAAGGTAAGGTAGTTAACCTCCCACCAAAAAGTTTTTTTTTTTCAGGTTCTTCCCTTCTTAATTTTTATGAGAGATGTAGTACTCTATCTAGTACAAGGCTCTGTTAAAACAGAACTCCAAGTCAACAAATTCATAGTGGCCCATCCCTCATTCTGTGCTGAGTTTATCATGTGTTCTATGTTGTGCAGTATAACCCCCCAATATCAACCAAAAAAAAATCACTACATGGCACTTTAAAGACTATTTACTGAAAAGGCAGTTGCTTTGGGATGAGGTTTTTAAAAAGATTAAACATAATATGGACTTTATACTTCCATATCTAATACTCTTCTGCCTCCAAAGGGATGAATATGACAAGGTAAATGTAATTTTTCTACTCCTCTATGAGACAGTCCTATATGTCTTAGCTAGGGTTTTAATTATTCTGAAGAGATTCCCCTTCTCACAAAATGGCTACAGCAACACTTATAAAAGTACACATTCAATTGGCGCTTGCTTACATCCAGAGTGTTATTATTATTATATTATATTATTAATAGTATAATTGGAAGCATAGCAGCATGCAGGCAGACATTGAGCTGGAGAGGTAACAGAGAGTTCTGCATCCTCACAGGCAACAGTAATGGAGAGTGAGGCTGGGACTGACTTGACCATCTGAAGTACCAAGTCCCACCCCTCAGTGACACACTTCCTCCAACCAAACACACTTACTACAAAAATCTCACACCTCCTAATACTGACACTCCCTCGTTACTAAGCATTCTAATCTATGAGTCTATGGGACAATTCTTATTCAAACCACTTACTATACAATCTATCTGTTAAGACTGAGGTATGCACAATGACAAAAAAATGTATAATTAGAATCCAGTAATAAAACAAATTTTCTTATGGTCTTAAAATATGCTTTATTTAATACTAAAGACATTCCTAAGGGCTGGGGATAAAACTGTATAGAAAAGCACATCTTAGCATGTACAAAGCCTGGAGTTCAATTTCCAACACACAGGAAAATCAATAAAGAAAGACAAACATTGTTCTTTCAGAAAAAGAGTAAAATACCCACAGAAACTGAAGGTGGCAAGAAAAGGAAGCTTATCCAGGAGCAGACTCAACTTCCAGAAGCTCCAGAAAGCAGCATACTAAAAGATGAACATTGTCTCCAGACTCCTCATAAGCCTCCACCAATACCACCCAGCAGTTCCTCCAACAAGGTACCACTTTTATATTCTCAGTGCTTGCAACTTCCCAGAGCATATCACTGGGTTCACCACAGCCTTGGAAAAACATCTCACTGATCCCCTACTTCAGGGATTTTCCTCATATTATTAAATAGCTTATTAAGTTATCAAATCATGTATCACAGCCTTTGTGGAATGATTTCTAATGTTGTAGACCAACTTTCTGCTTAGGTTTCAGAAGGAAGTCTAGAGGAAACAGTCAGGGATAAACAAAGAATGTGTTAATCTTCATTGCCTTCTTTCTTCTCTGCCCTTTTTTCTTTGCTGGTGACCCAACCACAAAGGTTATTTTCACCATTATGTGTTCCTTTCAGCACGTGTTTTGATACATGCTGTTTCCATTCTTGGAAGTCTTTTATTGCTGTTCATTTCCTAACCAAACACTATATAACTGAAATGATCACTTTTGCTGAGAGTCAGCTTCAGACCGCTCCCATCCCGTCAAGGCATACACTAAATTCTTCCAGCCATTCCTGTTCTATGATGGTTTACTCTTTTGACTTTATGAGGAGCCCACAATGCAGCTTCCAAATAAATCACACACAGAAGCTTATTTTAATTATGAATGCCAGGCCCTAGTTTGGTTTCTTGCCAGCTTTTCTTACCTTATCCTATCTACTTTTTGCCTCTAGGCTTTTATCATTCTCTCGTGTAATTCTTACTTTCACTCTTACTCTGTGGCTGGCTGGGTGACTGGTCCCTGCTGTCCCCCTCCCCTTGTCCTCTGTTCTCCTCCTCTTCCTAGATTCTCCTTCTGTTTACATTCTCTGCCTGCCAGCCCTGTCTATCCTTGCTCCTGCCTCACTATTGGTTGTTTAGTTCTTTATTAGGACCATTAGGAGTTTTAGACAGGAAAAGAATCACAGCTTCACAGTTAATCAAATGCAGCATAAAAAAAGTCACACACCTTCAAATAATATTCGCCAACAATTCCTCATCAAAGGGAATGGATTCTTGTTCCCATTTTGATGACTTCTTAATAAAATTACAACCATAACTTAGAAAGAACTCTTCATCTAGTCTATTAATCACACACACACACACACACACACACACACACACACACATATATATATATATATATATATATATATATATATATATTTGGTAGGCATGTATTTTGAGAACCGGACTATAATTTATATTAATCTTCTTATTTTATTGTATGATAAAATTGTGTTGTACATGCCATGTGACCAACATTTAATCTTTTTAAATGGCAGAGTCTTGATATTTGCATGGAAACGCCTTAGGAATGTCTAATTAACCATGTTTGTAAATGATTACAGCAAAATAATTCAAAATGTACACAAGCCTGGAAAATAGGCTACAGCTAGTAGTCATTTTAACTAGAATGGCATCAGCTTCATAGCAATTGTTGCATTAGAAATGGCCATTGCAATTATTCAAAGGGATATGCATACTAACTTACCTTCACTTTTAAAGCAAAATTTTTAAATCTTTATAATTTGTACTTTAAAGATTATTAAGTGTAATGAAGACCCTAACTAGATCGATTGCCTGAAGTACAAGTACTTCTCACATATGTAGAAGTTTGATTTAACTAAAGTTATAGCTATTTTAAAGACCTATACAAGGGTTTAAATGGGTCTGGATGGGCTTCACGCATGTGAATCCAGTACTCTGTCAACTGAGATACATCAGATCCACCAAAATCTATCTTTGTGGTAAATTTTTTAGGATAGTTGTCACACAATTTCTACAAGGTCACCTGAAGAGCTATAACTGTGTATGTGTGGTGGGGGAATCCCGTGTGTACAATAAAAATGAATATATGGTGTATTGGAAAGTTTACATGAAGAAAAATATAGAAATGGCCCATTTTATCTCATGTTTCCTTTCCCATAAAATGACACTAAGAGTTGAATAAGGCCAAGTAATATTTGGACAGTTTCGTGAGATACTTGAGCTAATATTCCATCCCAGACCAGTGAAATTTCAATACCTGACTTTTAAGAGGAGTTGTAATATCGATCACTAAGGATTGAACCTCTGTGCTAGAAACACTAAGTATGTTCTAAAATACTTCCCTCAGCCCAGGAGAAAGGTGACAGGTTTGAAAGTTCTCTTTTCAAAAGAGAAAGTGAAAGGATGTATTTGGTCTTATTTCTAAAAACCATTAAGCAGCATTAAAACTATCTCAATTATATTTTCTTTTAGAAACAGAAAAGGATAAATATCAAAACCCAGAGGACTTTTAAAACAGAGAATTCCCAGGAAGAACAGCAGCTTCCAGAATTATCAGAAACCAGCAACTCCTCAGCTGCCAGTGAACTCCAAAATTGTCGGGGACTCTTGACAACAGCTTCTAGCAGCCTTCAGACTCCCCAGACATCTCCATGCCTCGCTTTTAAAAAGGCTCAGGGCTCTCCAGCACTACCCTGCCAGAATTTTCTAGCATCTCCAGTATCAGACTCTAACACCCATCTGATCTCTCATTTGCCTCTAACCCTGTCCAGTAGTGTCCAGGGTCCTCAGGTACCTTTAGTAACAACATCTGAAAGTCCCCTGGTTCCGTATAAGTCTCCATCATCAGCATTCAAAAGTCTCCTTGCTCCAAGGGGGTCTCCAGCAACAGCAATCAGTGCTCTCCATGACCCTCTGGGGTCTCCAGCAACTACAAGCAGCAGTTCATGCAAGGTAATGGCTTCCTACTCTCAAAGTATAATGACAAAGATTAGCACAAGCCTGCAAGACTTTTTCATTAATCTATATGGACACATGATCTTTTACATAAATAATCACTATTTTTATGGTGTATAATTACTGATCCTTCCCTACATTCAATTTTAGAATACGTTGTATGTTCTACTCCATTAAGAAAACGTCTGACTCAGCGATCACCTGATCATGACTACTCTGTAAAGAGTATGCTGAGTCACGTGCATATTTAATTTTGCACATTATACTTTTTATTCAAGGTGTTGTTTTCAGATTGTGAATCGCTGCTGCAATTATATTGGAAGTGTACTTCCTGATGTTAGAACACATCAGTTGGTAATCAGAGTTAAGTCCCATCACCCACAGGGTGAAGTCTGCATGCTTCCAAGTCAAGGGTCAGAAAGTGCTTCAGTTATAGCTGCCTCCCTGCGCTGGTACCCAGGTCGGCAGTGACTGTCCATGTACTTTCTCCTTCAGTTCTACAGTGTTGCCTCCATTTCAAAGTGCTCTCCTGATGCTCAGAAACGGAGTAGCATACTGAGAAGGCAGGTGATCAAAGTAAAATGACCTCATGAATTCTGGTCACAGGATTCTCGTCCATGCCTGTTATTATAGAAAAAGAAGAGCTACTAATCTGAACCCTTTCTGAGTAGCAATATTTGAGGGTATCTTCCTAGGATGCCTACTTATACCTATTATAAGAAAGCTCTAATTTTTAGTCAAGGTTTTGTAATCAAACTCCTCCAAATGCTTTTAGAATGAAAACTTGACTAGAGCATTGGGGGCTTTGAGTTCAGCCCCCACAACTGTAAGTATAATCCCTTCGTCTACCAAGTAACATTCATATTAACTGGAATCACAAGGTAATAATTCAGGTAAATATCTATTTCTCTCTTTATTTATAGTATGACAATCATTGTTTAGATGTTCTCCACTGTACTCAGTGGAATTGTGCCTTATGATCTGTCTGAATTACACATGTTTATATTGTGTGTGTTTTATGTAGACACCAAGGAGAAGAAACATACCCAAGGAACCATCTAAGGAAGAAGGTTACCATCGAGAACCCAAAGAAGTGATGGTTTTGAAAATAACAGAACCATTTACTTATGATTTGATTGATGACAAAAGGATGTTCCATGCCACAGTGGCAACTGAGAATGAATTCTTCAGAGTGAAGATTTTTGAACCAGTGCTAAGGAATAAGTTCATTCCAAATAAGATTATTGCCATATCAAATTATATTGGCTTAAATGGCTTTCTGGAAATACACGAAGCTTCCTGTGTGTCTGATGCAGACAAGAACAGAACAATGAGTATCTCAAAAACACTGAGGCAAAGAGCTAATGCGACTCCTAAAATTAGGGATCTTTTCTCACAGGCACAGGGGACATATGTGAATGGAGAGTTTGTGGTCTATAAGGTACGCCATTGTGATACTTGTTAAATTCCTTTTGCAGTCTGGGATTTTTAATTTTTAATTTTAACGTGTCACTGGAATTTGCTCAACTTATTTAACATAGGAAGTAACTGTTCTTCATGTCAGAAAGAGATGAGAATGGGGATTGGGGGAAGCTCTTATCATTCTTCTCCACAAGGTGAAACCATGAAAAAAAATCTTTAGAAATCGATTCATCAATAACTTTGGCATATCCTGGCTGTGACAATCAATTATATCCATCTTATTCCTAGACACTGTTCAGTTTATAGCACACTTTCCTGTTAGATTCTATATCTTTGATAGCTTCCATGCCCAAATATTGGCACCCCAGCTGTGAAAAGAGCCAAACTCAAAGCCTACATACAGTTTGAGATGATGAGAAAAAAAGGAAGAGACTATTCTGGCCCAGATTGAAGTCATGACCAACTAGCCAAGATTATTTCTTTAATGTGTTCTCATTATAATATTCTTTACATTATATCAAGATCTTTTGATAGGGTGATTAATGTTTTAAAAAATGAAAGGAAGGACAAGTTAACAGTCTAGTTTAATTTCACAGTTTATAACTAGGCACAACAAAAGTGAGGAAATTAAAGGAAATCTGTGACTTTCTAGTATTTTTTAAGTGCCAACGTACCAATTCATTTGTATGCTTGTTAAGTGTATGATTTCATAATTCATTGTTTCTGAATAACTCGTGGCTTTTTACTTTTATCTATGCTGTTTTTGACTGCTCTGGTGCTTTTGGTTACACAATTAATAAGTAAACTAAGTGGGGCATGAACTTAAATGCCAGAACTAAAAGCTGTAGTTTTAATCCATGAGAGGTTAGGAAGGAGTAGAGTGAATGTTGTGTGCAAGAGCAAATGTGATCCAATTAAAAAGGAGGTGAGTGTCTGTGTGTGTGGGGGGGAGGGTTGGGAGTGTGGCGAGTGAGTGTATCAGTCTTTATGTCTGTCTGAATGTTAGTTTCTATTTGTATGTCTGTATATTTGTTTCACATACTATTTCTTTTTTCTGTTAGTGTGTTCCTTTTGTTTCATTATTGCTGATTTTCATCTTTATTCACCTGTTTGTTTTCTTAAGAAAGAGAGAAAGATTCTGTGGAGTTGGAAAGGTAGGGAAGTGAGGAAAATCTAGGAGTAGGGAAGGAAAAATTATGATTAGATTAGGTTTCATGAAAATAATTTATTTTCAATAAAAATTAAAATAAATTAAATTAAAAAGACTTATAGTTGTGTTTCTCAGACTGACAATGAGCCACAAGTAGCCTTTCTTCTCAGGCCTCCTGGAGATGCCTAAAAAACCAGCAATGGTAACTAAACAGTTATTGCTTTTTATTCTTGTTTTCATTTATTGTCTCTTAAGAAATCTCAGATACTCTTATATGTTACCACAGTACTTAGAAATATACTCATTTTTTCTTAAAAACACCCAGCAGAAGAAATCAAGTAGGTAAAACATAAGAGTTGCTTCCAAGGGCTGCAGTGCTGACCCAATCATTAAGGCTAGGCCCACAAGGCTTCAAGAAGGAGTTCAAACAAAACATTTGTTCACTAAAACATCTTAAACTCTATGGTTCCTGAAAACCTTTTTTCAGTTATTTATTTTGTCTGTGAGGGATGGGAACAAACACAAAAACTTTTAAAGTAGTGTGGAAGTCATGAGAGAACTCCACAAATGACTTCTCTCTTTCTACCTTGAGAGCTGCTCATTGAGGCCAGGTAATCAGGCTTGCCAGCAAGCACCCTTCCCCACTGAACCATTTCACTGGCTCTTGTGCCTGTGATTCTAAACCTAAGAGCCATCTTGCCTTGGCAGGGACAGGTTTATGCCGACACTCTTTATTCCTCATAGAGGTGACAAGCTTTGACATATTTTCTAAAAGATAAATGTTAACTTGCTTTTCAGAAAACTGAGAGGAATCCCTTCATTTACTATGGAATTGAAGATGATACAGGGACAATGGAAGTGGTGGTCTTTGGAAGACTGACCAATATAAAGTGTGAGCCAGGCCAAAAACTTCGACTCGTCTGTTTTGAATTGTCCTCAAGCAAAGATAATTGGCAGCTGAAGTCTGTAAGACACAGTTACATGCAGGTGTGTGCTCTGTAATTTAATATTATTAAGAATCATTCATATATATGATTTCATAAATACATATATATCATGTACTTGACTGTTGGCATTACATAGACAATCCAACATGATAATAAAAACTAACTTTTCACATTTATAATGAAATACCTTCTAGTGTCTTTTAAGTAAATATTTCTAAATCATAATAAAGAAAATAAATTCAAAAGTTGTTATATGTTTAGCTAAATGACAAAAAAGTATCTCCTTTATCAAAGCAAAGAGATAATTTGACAGGACTCAGGTTAATTAAGATTTTTGTTCATATTCTGACTCTTTGATTTTTCAAACTGAGTAAAGACTAAAGCACAAAGAATCTTGGAGTCTTCATCTATAATAATCAAATACTGTCTGTTGCAGAGAATGATGAACAGAAATCACAAGTTCTCAAGGATGCCCTGGGCTAATAAGACCCAATGTGCTAAAATCCACAATCCTTGTCATACTTACACATTGTGTGGGATTCATTTTACACTTTAAAAAAGGCCACTATAACCATGTGAACAGAAGAAATAGAAGGGATCACATGTTCGTTCACATAGAAACACTCTTACAGCACCATTGTTTCAGAACACCAGCCAAAGTTTCAAACCTTCCCCCATGGCAGCTGCAACAGCAAAGTCCTTTCTCCCTCCTCCCAACCTGCCTGTTCAATGAGACTCTGCAACTCAATCTATACCTAAGGAATGAAAGCTCTTTCCTCTCTTCTGGAGCTCTGTGTCATAACCGGGCCTTCCAGCTGTGTGCTCAAGTCTGTAGGAGTGACTAGCTACTCTCATAGTCCCAATAAGGGAAGAAAGCTGACTTCAAGAACAGAGTGACATTTAAGGAGATAGACCAGTGAGAAATTGGATGTGACCCATAGGGACACGTCAGTATGAATATAGAGTTTGGAGCCATTTGAATTTCACTTGATCTGACCTCATCATCTTCTTTTTTAAGGTCGTCGATGTCAGAAAGAAAGTCACTCAAGCCTGATGCAGATAAGAAAACCTGGATGCCAAGATACTGTTTATGGAGATAAGATCCAAGTCCAGAAAACACATGTATTCATGAACTGTTGCATACATTTCATATCTATGAAAGCCATCTCCTTTTTTATGGTTTTCCAACACAGGATTTCTCTGTTTTGTCCTTGCTGTCCTGGAAATCACTTTGTAGACCAGGCTGGCCTTGATCTCAAGGTCTACCTGCCTCAGCCTCCTGAGTTCCAGGATTAAAGGCATGGACCACCACCACCAGACCTGCTCTTAATTCTAGGAAATGATGATTTCTTTTATTGTTCATACACCTTTAATGATTTAAGTTCTGTTTTCTATCAATAACTTTATACATGTTAATCTATAAGTTTTACATATAAAACTTAAAAATAAAACCACATTTTGATAAAGAAATGATTCCTTGGAAATATCTTTTAGCCATTTGAGAGTTGCTGTAAAATCAAAAGTATAGAATACAAACTTCATGTGTGATGTTAAAGACCAAGCCTGCCAAAGAACAAGTAGTCTGTGTCTACCCCAGAAAACTCAAGGCATTAATAAAAGACACAGGTTAAGGTTGAATTCACCCTTGAATTCAGACTCCACTTGTTTGATAACCACAGTTACACTTTCCAGCCATTATCTGCATCTCCTGTGTACTTACATTCTTCTACCAATATATCTGAAGCCTATTGTCCACATGGGCACCAACATACATCTGGTCTCTCTCTCTCTCTCTCTCTCTCTCTCTCTCTCTCTCTCTATATATATATATATATATATATATATATATATATATAACAATGAAAATGATTGCTGCCCTTAGAAATACTTTCATGAATTATATATAATCAAATATTTCACAAAGAAAGAGGATCTGATCCAGACTAGTTCAGGTACACGTACAATAAGACAAACTGTATCCTCAAAGGGAACTTTTATGATGAATATCATGTTGTTCACTTTCTCCTATGTATAATTGTGTGTATACAATCACATAAATTACTGTGTTGAAAGGACATGCACAGGAAGTAAATGCCTACCTAATCTAAGACTGTCAGTTGAAATGAAGATCCACCCATATCACACCCCCACAGCACCCCAGCTTCTTCTCCTGAACCCCATGAATGTGGCTCCAAACAGATGCTGGGATTCCTGAGCACCTTTTCTCATGCGAGCACTGTTGCTCTTCACACATATTCCCGTCTGATCTGTACTATTACTGTGCTTTGGGAAAAGTTTCAAGGCTTCTTTAAAATCTATGTGAGCCTTTACCCCCAAATCTTTGAATGAAAGGCCAAGGTATGGGAAACACTTGGCTTAGTCTCTGACCACCCCGTATAATATGACAAAGAAACAGGAAAAACCACACCAAATGCTGAAGGTTAGTCTTGGGTTCCCGAGCTTGCAGGTTTTGTGATTATTACATTTATCTTCCTTATACAACACTTTCTCTGTAGTGTCCTAACACCCAGAGAGAAGAAAATGATAATTTTCCGTAACAGTAAGGGACAGGGAATTGTATCTTTTACAGACGTAAAGTTTTAGTTTGTATGATATGCAAATGCTTTGCAACAAAGATGAGGGTACAGCAACAAATCCACCTACATAGACTAGGCTGGAACCATTCTCTGACTCTTTTGTATGAGAATCTTTCTCAGGAGGTGTAAACAAGTATCTACTCACCCCAGAACAAGTTCAGATCCAATTAAGTTCAATTTTTTGAACCAATAGGATTTATTGTGTTTCTTAAAGGGATATTGATGAAGTGTTACTTGCAAAAGCAGAAATGCCTCAAAGAGAGCTATGTCACTAGTTCATCCCAAAATGAGCATCAGCTCACAGTAGCCAGAAATCTGGAGCACCCTTAACAGACTGTAGACAGTACAATGCTTTGGAGAGTGTTTTTTTCAGGTAGTTGAGGTGGTCTGAGCCCCTTCTGCACAACTTGGTTGGTATCTACTTTTTCCAGGCACATTAGCTTGTCTGAGCATGCCTAGCAACATCCTGGATATTCTATAGGAAGGAGGACAAAATTATATCTGGTAACAGGGATTCCTAAAACCCCTACGTTATTTATTTATTGACCTTAATGATTTTGCTTGGAGGATGCAAGTGCCCACCGTTGTTGAAATATCCTGCTATTCTGCATCCTTTTGTTAACTCCCTGTGTTTTACCAATCTTTCCTCTATGATGAAAGATTTTGATCTTGAAGCTAAAGACTCCCCGATGTTTACATAAAGAATCAGTTTCTCTGTTTCCCTGAACTTAATGCCACCCCAAGCATAGAGAAAGAACAGTAGCACTGTTATAAGCTACTTTCAGGACTTTTCACAAAAGAGAAAAAAGGACACCTGGCACAACGTGGCACCAGTGTCACAGTGGTAACTGGCAGCTTTCTGATTGTATTTGAGGCCTGGTACACAAAAGAAAATTATAATAACTATTATTATACACCTCGTCAAAACCTTTCACCTGTAGGCCAGCAGATCCTAGGGAGAAACCTTACAAGTTATTGTCAGTTTTCCTTTAAAATAACCTTGTTTATATCCACAGGTTAGTGCTACACACAGGATTGGTCAAGAAGCTTCTGTTTGCAGGGAGATGCTACTAATCCTGAGATGCAGATGTAAAACCTGCAGGGGCCCATAGTGACTCCATTTCTCTCTCAACTCATGGACAGAGAGTTAATGCTTGTCAAGGCCAAATAACAGGTTGTTTGATTTAGGGTGTGCTTACCAGATATGTTGAGTATTAAGGAGGTTATTATGATTGTTTGTTCCCTGTATCATCGGTAAGGAAGTCTTTTCCACTCCCCTTTTGCTTGGGGTATATAAAATTTATGATTAATATTCTTGGGGATTTTTTATGTATTCACTGAGAGGCCTCCCAATTCTATCTTCTGTCTTCTGTCTCTTTCTTTTTCAATCCTCACCCTACTTTCAGGCATATTCGAATAAGTCCCTCAACTAGACAAAGAACAATCTTGGTGACTGTGCCTTTGGTGACTTAGTTACTAAGTATTGGACTCTCCTAATTAATTGTTACTTTCTTGGGCAAAAAGACTGCCAGTCATACAGCCAGTCAGATGACCCTTATAGCAGTCTGACTATTTAGAACAATGCACAGATATCCTGAGGAAACTATGGCTTTGCTCTCAAAGATTCAGTTTCAGGGATCCTATTTCAAATACTTTCTATCAGACTTTGGTTCTACTACTATAAAACTTTAAGAATCTATATGATCTTGGAATCTTTTACCTCTAAACTAGAGCCAGAGCACTTCCCCAATACCTAATAGAAAGATTTCTATTATTGGTGAAAATAGGAAATTTTACTTGTGTGTGATGCACTCTGTATCTAGTCTACAGAAATCCTTCTCTGCTATCAGCAAGCAGCTCAGCATCGCTGGGTGGCCTGGGAGAAAATGTCCACTGGAAACCCTTACAGAAACTCAAGATTAGTCTTCTTATGCCAGTTTTTTTTTAATATTTATTATTATTTTGACAGTGAAGGTCAAGCTGGTAACATGAAAAAATGACCAGTCATTTCTCCTGGTCTAGCTTCATCCCTTTGTGATTCTCTAAAACACAAAGAACCCACCCGTCTCTCTACAAGGGACGTCAGAGCCATTATACTTGATGGGAACCCATATTGACCACCTGCTTACCTTTGCCCTTCTTTGCCTTGTCCATTCTTCTTTCTCCAGAGTACTCTTAGAGCATCTGCTGCCTTCTTTCTTCATTTCCTCCACATATGTTACCTTCATTCATAAAGACCAACAAAAGCATAAACAACCAAGATCATTTATCTGTGTCGTAACTAAGCCTCCAACCCTTAAAGGGATGGATGCGCAGTGAGGGCTTCCTTCCAGATTCTGGACTAGGCACAAACCATACCCAATGCCTGTTTTCATACGGAGATCCCTTATTAATCAGGGAAGAGAAGTTAAAGTGGCCGCTTTCTGGTTCTGACAAAAAAACAGCAGCAAATGACCTTGCAGGTACAGTTTTAAAAGGAGGAAAAAGGGGAGGTCTGTGATGGAATGGGCTAGGATGCAGTGGTAAAGGAGATAGGGGACTAAGAGAAGGAGAAGCGGACAACGGAGAGGGGAAGCTGTATTTGTCCTGGAAGAACAAAAAACTGCCTGTGGATCGAGGGTAGACAGATGTTGGGCACATAGGGGAATTGCAGTTTATTAGGGTATTGGGGGAAAAACCTGTTGGGAAGAGGTATTCAATTTTAACTGGTCATGTAAACTAGGTTAGTCATAAAGGACTTCTGATTGCTGGATTTTGTTATTCTGCCTCGGAAAGAAGTGATCAAAGAAAGGAATAGACATTGATGCTAGCTTTAGGAATGTATTCTTATGTGTTTTTTTTTTTTAACAAGACAGTGGGATTATGGGAGAAGAGCAAGGGCTGCAAGAGTCACAAGGTCTAGTAGGCTAGTGTCTCTTCAAAACATACTGTAACAAGCCGTGAGAAAAGCTTGTTGAAACTGTGTTGCATCTAATTATTTGTTGACCAAAGGGACCCCATGAGAACCTCTAAACAATGCAGCCTGTTGTCAAGATAATAAGTTGCTCTCCACAAATTGACAACAAGTTCCCACTGCTGAAGGAAACACCTATACAACTTATTGAACTTGAGCAATTAACTCTGGTGCCTCCATAGAGCCTTTACCCCTACGTTCGAGCATCTTTGGTACCCTACCAAAAGGGAAACATAAGCACCAAAAGAGCCACAAATCCTTTGATCTACAGTGGTACCCTGCCTGAAGGATTAGCTAATGCAATGGTGACAGAGAGCTTGTGGGAGTGACCAACCAGTATCTTATTAGAATAAAGGCCCACTCCATAAATTAGGACCCATACCTGACACTGCCTGGGTGACCAAGAACCAGAGATTAAATAGTCCAAGGACTCAGGATACAATCTAATGAAACTGGTTGTAAAACAAAATAAAATTAGTGGGCAAAAAAACCTATTTTCAATAAAAGAAAAAAAATCCAAAGCATCATTATTTTCAGATGATATGGTACTCTATATAAAAGACTCTGAAGACCTCACCAGAAATATCGTACAGCTCATAAACACATTGAACAAATATAAAGATACAAGTATAACACTTAAAAATCAGTAGATTTGCTATTTAAAAGACAAGCATAACAAGAACAAAATCAAGGAAACAGTCATACTCAAAACAGCCTAAAATACAAACCAAAAAAGGGAAGGATTTGCACAATGAAATTCTAAAACAATGAAAGAACTTGAAGCAGATATCAGAAGATGAAAGGCATCCCAATCTGATGGATTGTCAAATATAGATTTTGTTGGAGGCCACTCGTTCGTTCCCAGGTGCTTAGACCCAAAATAATCACACAGAAACTGTATTATTTGCCATACTG